AAAAAAAAAAAAAAAAAAAAAAAAAAAAAAAAAAAAGAGACGGGATAATTGGCTTTAAAGGCAATATGAGATAAAAGTTCAAAACCAAACAGTCTCTCTGATGAAGAAATGATGTCTAACGAGTGGAGTCACAGAGAGCAACACCTATGGCCAGTCCCTGCCAAAGCCTGCCCTTTAATCCTGGCTTTATAATGAAAAAAAACACTGCATTTATTACTACAAAGACCAAAAGGCTGCCTCAGGAGGGGAAGGTGCTGACATCACCTGGAAATGTGGCACCTCTCCACCCAGCTGGCTGAAACACCAGCCTGTTTCTGCTGAAAAATACCCTAAACAGATTTTGGCCTCTTAATGCCGTCGCTTGAAAGGAGCCAGGGAGACTGACTGGGCACGTCAGGAGCAGGGAAATGAAAAGGCAGCGTTGCAGGGGAGGTAAACAACCAGCAGTTTACTTAATTGGGGTGCTTTGCATAAAATATGAGCTTGTTGGTAAATACATTCCGTGTGCAAAGGCGCGTCTGGGCCCGGGGCTGTGCAGGGCTCTATAAAAGCCCATCCAGCTGCAGGTCCTTCATCCACTTCTCCTGCCTTCTCCTCCACGGTGAACCAGGTGAGCTGCAAGAGCCTTTGCCTCCCTGTTCCCTTTCCCTTCTTCTCTTTTTCTTCTGGCCTCGGCCAAATCTTTGCCTCTGTGCAGCTTTACATCAGAACCTTGGTCTTACTCCCACTGTCTGTGCTGCCCCTGTTCTTCACTGAGGGGATGTTGGGCTTTCCTTGCAGGGAAATCTTTGGGGTCAGAGCTGTTGAATCTCCCCTCCTTCCCTTTCAGACTGTCCTTTCTCCCAGTCTGAGATCCTTTTGTTGAGCAGGGTCTCAGGCCGTGCCTCACGCTCTGCCCGTGCCATCCCTGCCCTCTCTCTCTCTGCCAGGTCTGCCATCCACAGCCATGTCTTGCTACGACCTGTGCCGTCCCTGCGGGCCCACCCCGCTGGCCAACAGCTGCAACGAGCCCTGCGTGAGGCAGTGCCAGGACTCCCGGGTGGTGATCCAGCCCTCGCCCGTGGTGGTGACGCTGCCCGGGCCCATCCTGAGCTCCTTCCCCCAGAACACCGCCGTGGGCTCCACCACCTCCGCCGCCGTG